GGAACCCACCCACACCCAGTGCCAGGAGAGCAGCAACTCACCCAGATCCAGTGGCAGCTGCCAGAGGTGCCACCACCCCCAACCCAAACCCAACCCAAACCCAGTGGCAGCTGCCAGGAGGTGCCACCAACCCCCCCAGTTGCTCCAGAGGTGCCCAGCTGACCTGCTCCGTGGCTGTGGGGCAGTAGCACACCAAGAGCAGGGTCGTGGAGATGTTGATGAACAGCCCGACGATGGTGATGAGGTTGGGGGCGATCCAGGCGGGCACCCTGCCCACCAGCCATTCCCAGTAGCCCTGCATGAGGGGCTCGAGCAGGGAGCGGCCGGCGCTCTGGTACTTGTGCTCCTCCAGGCGTTTGAGCTGGTGCTTGCTCAGGGGGGGCGTGGGCAGCTGCACCAGCTTGCTGAGCACGCAGCCCCCCCCGGGGCCGTGCCCGCAGCCCCACGGGGCCTCCGGCGGGGCCTCCCCACAGCGCCGCTTGGCACCCCGGTGCCCGCTCATGGCCTAGCGGGTGTGCTCGGGCAGGAAGGAGCCGGGCTGGAGAACCATAAATCCTGCAGGAGGGAGAGAGGGGTGGCAGGGACCGCCTGGAGAAAAGGCACAGCTGGGGGGGGTGATGGAGCTCAACAGGATCGTCCCAGGCCCGCGGGGTGACTTTTGGGGACGGGCCTGTGCAGGGCTGAGAGCTGGACCCCCCTCCCACCTCAGCACGGTCTGGGTGTGACACTCCAGCACCTGAACAGGGTTTTAGGGTATCTCAAGTTGGCAGGTGCTGCTCTGAGGAGCCCCCAGCAAAGCAGGGTGACTCCCTTAAAAAACAAAGTTTTTTGGAGTGGTGCTGAGGGAAATGTGAGAAATGAGTGTACAAAATTAGCTGTAAAATGATGCTAAGCTGCACCTTTACTCTCCTCACTGCCTTCTGGGGCAAATGCCCTGCAGCCACCAGCCAAAATTTGTATTTATACATATAAATACATCTATAATTCCTACTATCACCAGCTTTCCATTAAGAAAGCTTGGACTAAACCAGATAGTGCAAGAACTCACGGGAGAAATGCTGGAGAGCACAGTGCAGCAGCACCCTCGTGTCTCTGGGTGCACCTTGGTGAGTCCCCAGGGCCCCCTGAGCACTTCAAAAGTGATTTAGCACTTCCAGGAACACCCCAGAGCAGTGATTTGTGTCACTGCCAGTCCCTCACACCACTCAGGTTATCAACTGATGGCTCCAAGTTTACCCAAATTTATCCAAACCCTGCCAAGTCTGAAGTTAAACTGGCTTGGAGCAGCTCTGTCTCCTTGGTGACGCTGAACAGCCACCTAAAATCAGTGAAGAGCTATTTTTTTTTTCAGGTTTATGTTCCTTATTTCTGTTTTCCTGGGGCTTTTCTCCTCTCCAGATTTAACCCAGTTGAGGTGAGAGCTCAGTGTCTTGTCCAGCTTTCAAGAAACACGCAGGAGCTGGAGAGCTTTAGTGGGTCAAAAACATTTCACACATTTCTCTTATCCAGATCTTTTTCCATCCTTTTTTTTTTTTTTTTTTTTAAGAAAAGAAAAGGAAGTACAGGGTCAGGAAAAGCTTTTCCAGAACCCTCACAATGTCCCATCTCCCTTAAAGAAAAATATGTAACTCTCCATAGGAAGTAGAGAAAGGAAACTAAAAATAAGTTTGTTGTTTATCTATAGGAGACAATGAGGGGGGGAAGAAAAGAAGAAAACCTGGTTGAAGTGTAGGAAGAGGGCAGGGAGCTGTAAATCCACACGCAGGTAGGGAAAACAAGCTGTGGAAATCAAAGGTCAGCACTTGTCTAAGAACAGGAGCTGTCACTGCCTCTCCACACCCTCATCAAGGCAAATTCCAGCAGTGAAAAGCCACCTCAGTGGGAGGGGAGAGGAGAAAGCAGGGCCTGGGCTGGGGATAAGCTCGGCAAGGAGCAAAACTGCCCCTCTTTAATCACCCGGAGAGACCAAACTCGGCCGGCGCGGGGGGCCCGGTGGGGCCCGGGCACAAAACACGAGCCCCCCGCGCACAAAACTCGGGGGGTTCTGAGGGGAAAACAACCCGGGGGAGCCTCGTCCTGCACAACAAACCCCGGCCGGGGCCGCCACAGGGCAGGGCAGGGAGAGGGGAGGGAGGGAAGGGGACAGAAGGGGAGGGAAGGGGCGCGAAGGGATCCCCTCAGCGCTGCTCCCCCACCGAGCCCGGCCCAGCGCGGCCACAGGCCCGGCCCCCCCTTAGGGCTCCCCCCGAGCCCTCAGAGCCCCGTGCGGGGCCGGGGGATCCCGGAGGCTCCTGGGGGTCCCGAGGGCTCCCGGGGGCACTGGGGGTCCCGGAACAGCCCCGGCCCACAGCCCCGGCCACTCCCCGTCAGGGCTCCCCCGCGCCCTCAGAGCCCCGGGCGGGGCCGGAGGGTCCTGGAGGGTCCCGAGGGATCCCGGGGGGTCCCGGCACAGCCCCGGCCCACAGCCCCGGCCCAGCGCAGCCACAGCCCCGGGCCCCCCTCACCGGGGCGCTCCCTCAGAGCTCGGCCCGGGGCCGGGGGGGATCCCGCGGGGGCCGGGGGGTCCCGGCCCGGCCGCAGCCCCTCCCTGTCCCCCCCGTTACCTCCGTGTCCCCGCACCGGGCGGCGCTTGGTTTTTACGCCCCGTTTTGCGACGGCCGGAAAAGCCTGAGCGGCGGGGCCGGAGGCGGGGCCGGGGCGGGCGCGGAGCGGGAGCGGCTGAGGTGAAGGGGCTGAGGTAAAGGGGCTGGGGTAAAGGGGCTGGGGTGAAGGGGCTGAGGGGGCGCGGGGACCCCCAGGCCCGGGCACCGCATCCCCGGCACCCCGCAGGGACTCCCCGACCTCCGTGGGACCCCTCAGGGACCCCATGAAACCCCCTTAGGGACCCCTTGACACCCCTCAGGGACATCCTGAAACCCCTTAGGGACCCCCTAACGCCTCCTCAGGGACCCCCTGACACCCCTCACGGACCCCATGAAACTCCCTCAGGGACACCCTATGAACCCCTCACGGACCCCATGAAACTCCTCATGGACCCCCTGGCACCTCCTCAAGTACCCCCTGACACCCCCTCAGGGACCCCCCTGTGAACCCCTGAGGGACCTCCTGAC